TTGTTTGGCGGGTCCGGGCTGGGGATTCGAACCCGCCACCTTAGGTGTACGTGGCTGGCGCCTTAGCCGGTTGAGCTATAGGCGCCGAGCCATTTAATCCTTTTCAACAGAAGGATGCAAACATCTTTTCATGCTTCAGACACTTCATATGGCACCTTATGTAAAACCTGAATGAACTATCTTATAATTCAGTGGTTCTCCACCTTCCAAATGCTGCGGCCTTTTAATATAATTCCTGAGGGTCACGACCCACAGGTTGTGAACCACTCTTATAACAGTATTCCATGAACTACTAGTTACTTAATCTAATAAGTTATTTTTCCTGCTAAGGCATAAGCAAGTTTTTAAGAATGTAAGACATATAGACAGACCCTCATAGTGATAGTGCCAGAAAGGCACAACCCAGGGAATATCCTGTTCTCTCAGCTATTGTTTGAGTGGGCTGGTAGGGACAAAGAGAAATAGTGATCAGTACTAGGAGAATGACTATAGCTCTGATTTCGGCTCACAAACAGGAAGAAATGTCCTCATAGGTTTATTCAAAATACTCAACTAGAACCTTACAATTTGTGACATTAAATCATTATTTTAGGCTTGGTGCCTATAGCACAGTGTTTACAGTGCCAGCCATATACGCAGAGGCTGGTTGGTTTGAACCCAGCCCAGGCCAGCTAAACAACAATGACAAGTGGAACAAAAAATTGCCAGGCATTATGGCGGGTGTCTGCAAGAGAATCGTGTAGCCCAGGAGTTTGCGGTTGCTGTGAGCTGTGATGCCACAGCACTCAGGGTGATATAGTGAGACTTTGTTCCAAAAAAAACAAAAAACAAAAAAAAACTGAGGTCCCTTTAGTAAATGAAATCATCATTCAGTTGACCAGATATGCGCTTTTGTAGTTCTGCATGAGAAAAACATGGCATCCAAGTCAGGGGTCCTCAAACTTTTTAAATAGGGGGCCAGTTCACTGTCCCTCAGACCGTTGGAGGGCTGGACTGCGGGCCTCCGGGCCTCCGGAAGAGTCGGCAGCTAAGCAGGACAGGCAGCAGTGGCAAAAGAAAATTGGCGGGCCGGATAAATGTCCTAGGCGGGCTGCATGTGGCCCAGGGGCTGTAGTTTAAGGACGCCTGACTACTTGTAACACACAAACACACACACCATTCCCAATTGTCTTTGCTATATTTGCTTATTAATTTCAAAGTATTTACAAGGATACTTTTAAAGGGAAGAGATCCGAATAAAAATAAGTAATAAAAAATTTATTTCTGAATTTAGAAAATATTTAAAAATTAAAAAATATTATATAAGGTATGACAACTTACTGGTATAAAAAATGCTAACATCTGTCTGGGCACCTGTAACACAGTGGTTACAGCGTCTGGAGCACAGTGGTTATGGCGCCAGCCACATACACTGAAGGTGGCAGGTTTGAACCCAGCCAGGGCCAGCTAAACAATGACAACTGCAACAAAAAATAGCTGGGCATTGTGGCTGGTGCCTGTTGTCCCAGCTACTTGGGAGGCTGAGGCAAGAGAATCGCTTAAGTCCAAAAGTTTGAGGTTGCTGTGAGTTGTGACACAACGAACACTCTACCAAGGGTTACAGAGTGAGACTCTGTCTCAAAGGAAAAAAAAAAAAAAGCTAACATCTTGAAAGTATCACAAGTTTGAATTTTAAAAAAATTGAAGGTTGCTTCTCTTCGTAACTAGAAGATAGTAAGAGGATAATTCATAGTTCATATGAATTTACTTCATCAGTCAAAAAAATACTCGTATCAATCTGGCTAACTGGCTTTTATATTATTCAGACAAGTGGAAAGTATAAGTAGAGCTACTAGAATGATGAAAAATGGCACCTACAAATTCATTATTTTTTAATTAGGAAATTAAGGGATAAGAAAAAGAACAAGAATACTAAAAGTAGTATTTTTTTAATTTCCTATTTTTTGGTTGCTCCATATTCTACTTCCTTTAGCATTCTAAACTTCCTAACACGTAAGTCTATATTGCACTTCACATCTACTCACACAACTGGTATTTTTAAAGTCTAGCAGTAATCATGAATGTTACAAAAACCACATGCAGAAGATTTTCACCTTACAGTGAAGAGTTTTAAGATAATACCTCTAGAAATACAAAGTCTAAAAGTAAGGATTCTCTTGTTAACTAAGAATTCAAAATGCTAACTAAAAAAAATTTCTGCAGGCTATACATATGCTTTTTAAAAAAGCATCAACATATACTTTTCACTGATGAAATGATAGGAATCTTTTACTCTTCAATTAAAAAAAAAAAAAAGGGTAGTACTGAGTCCTATCTCCTCTCATCCTCTCAAAGGTTGCCTAAGTGCATGTAGCCTAGATCTTAGACTGTTTCTTTTAAAAATAATCTCCAAATTGAATACACAGAATTTCACAATGGTGACTCCTACCTTCCAACCTTGCCTTATCTATGTTAGTAATACACCCTCACTGTCTTCAGTTTCTTCCTTCCTCAATTCATTCTGTATAACCAAATCTATCTTACTTTTGATGAACATTCTTATCAAGTCATTTTCCCCATACCAAACTTCCTATGCTTCTGAATAAGAAATTTACACCAACAATTCAATGACTTACAAAGTCTAGCCCCAATCAGTTTGTGTGGCTTTATCTCCATTATTTTCTAACTACACAAAAACCTAGGCTCTATCAAACCAATCCTCTTGTCACCTAACCGCTCCTGAACTTTCTATCTCAGCACATGTCATTCCTACCACAAAGAACATCTATCACTTCCCTCCTACTGCCTGCTTACCACAGCTCACTGGCACATCTACACTTACTCCAAACAAGAACACAAAAATGAGGTAGTTCCTGCCCTAGTCTAGAAGACTCGCAGAAAAAAAAATTTACAAAAACAGAATTTATTAAATACGTACTATGTGCTAAGCAGTCTTATACATTATTTCTAATCCTCTCAACAATCCTTTGAAGTAGGTATTACTCTCCTTAGAAAGATAAGAAAGCTGGCACTGCGCCTGTGGCTCAAGGAGTAGGGCGCCAGCCCTATATGCCAGAGGTGGTGGGTTCAAACCCAGCCCTGGCCAAAAACTGCAAAAAAAAAAAAAAAAAAAAGAAAGAAAGATAAGAAAGCTAAGGTTTAGAATATCAAATCATATGTGTACTTAGTAAATTGCCTCAAATCACGTACTTAGTAAGTAGCAAAGCAAGCATGTGAACCCAGGCTGCCTCATTCCAGAGTCAATGCTCCTCAAACGCTTGGGCTCAAGCGAGCCTCTTGCCTCAGCCTCCTGAGTAGCTGGAACTACAGGCACCTGCTACAACACTTGGCTATTTTTAGAGACAGGGTCTTGCTCTTGCTCAGGCTAGTCTTTAACTTGTGAGCTGAAGCAATCCGTCCACCTCAGCCTCCCAGAGTGCTAGGATTATAGGCGTTAGCCACCACACCCAGAATCTATTTTATCAGAACTGCTTAACTACCCACCTCATCTATCAGATATAATTAGTTTTAAGCAATATTTCTACTTATTACATACTACAAAACATGCTTTCTCATTGTTTGTAGTTTCAGTAAAAGACATTAAAATTCTTTTCTCTCTAAAAAAAAAGGATGCTCGAATTGCAACTTCAATCAATGTCTTTTGCCACAAAGATTACTTACACCTAAAATATTTTTAAAGAAAGTCCTTCCAACCAACTTTCTGGAAGACAACTGCAAATTACTAGTCATACACTGTGAACATTTTATAGACTATTAATATTATGAGGATTTTGTTATTACCACCCCAAGAACGTAACAGATATCTATCAAATTGGCAAAGATTAAAAACTGACCTACTCAATGCCATTGAAGGTTCAGTGAGACACACACTCTTATACACAGGGTAATCACCCTCTGATCCAGTTATCCCACTTCTGGGAATCTATCCTATAGAAAGAAAAAAAAAACAGAGATACAATCAAAGATAAATGTACAAAAATGTTTGTCCCAGTGTTAAGATAGTAATTTTATAAGAATCAACCCTAAAGTCCCACACTAGGAAATCAATATCCCATTCGGGGAGAACAGGTAGGATTAAAACTGTATGTATAAAAGTGTAATTCTAATTTTTGTAAAAAATTAAAAAATCTACACACAAGGAAAGAATTGGAAAAATATGCATTAAAATGTTAGTAATTTTTTCTGGCTAATGGGATTATAGGCAGTTTTCAATTTCTTATTTACACTTATGTTCTTTTAAAAATTTGTCATAATGTAACATGAAATACTTTACACAGGAAAAAAATATGTTTAAGCAGTCATAGCCACTAAAAATGATCCTGAACCAGACATTAGGTGGATTAGTTGCATTTCCTAGTGCAAAGAAAACGTCAGACTTGCTTTGTTTCCGTCTTCTATTATGTTCACATTTACTTTTAAATTGTATAAAGGATGTCATCCAATACATCTAAAACACCTGTATTTACCAAACTGCATAAGGCCCTCTTTCTTAAAAGCCAATGTGCCAAAAGCAAAGCATCACAGTTAAGTGGATTAAAAACTCTGTATATCTACTGAGAATAATAAATAGTTAACCCTAACTCGAAAAATGGAAAAACCAGAAAAATTATTCTCATTTTGCAAATTAACTAAACAGATTATTGTTGCCTTATAAGCACATCATAATTAGATACAGAGTGGGTAGGAACTTAAAAATGAAACTGGCAAACTACCAACATTCACTAAAAACACACATTGGTGAATTTTATCTATTTATACATTTCTGCCCTAGCTGATAACTTTACGTCAGAAGATGAGTTTAATCAATGTAGAAAAACTATTAACAAGTTGGTCTGGCTCGGCACCTATAGCTCAACCGGCTAAGGCGTCAGCCACGTACACCTAAGGTGGCGGGTTCGAATCCCCAGCCCGGACCCGC